GATGCTCAAATTGTAATATGTAACATTTATGCACCTAATGAACAAAAAACAAAATTTATTCAATACTTGAGAACCAATTTGAAGAAAATTGATTAAATGACAAACTTCTCCTGATTGGTGACTTCAATGGGGTAATGAATAATCACTGGGATAAAAGCAAAATTAAAAGGAAGGGTGATTTTGGAAACAGTATCCTCCCTCAGAAATTTCACGAATTGCAAGACGAATTTGACTTAAATGATACACGGAGAGTAAGAAATGAGCAAAAGAAAGATTATACTTTTTTCTCATAGACATTAATCATGGTCAAGGATTGATATGGCATGGATATCTAAAAAAATTAGGTACAAAAGTTCAGGACTTTAATATACTTCAGAGACTTATCTGACCATTGTCCCTTGGAAATAATAATTTACCAAAAAAAATCAGTATAGGGAATGGAGGTTAAATATACAAGAATAAAAGTAGGTGATAAGGATATAACGATGGATAAAGGAACAATGGAAGAATTTATAAACAATTATATTCCAAAGAACAAATAAGTAAAGAAGAAATAATCAATTATATAGATACATTCAAATTTCAGAAAATAAATGATGTGACTAGAGAAAAGTTGAATAAGCAAATAACGGAAGACGAAATAACAAAAGCAATTAACAAAATGGACTCAGACAAAGCTCCTGGCCCAGATGGATATACAGCAGGTTTTTATAAATCGCAGAAACAGGTATTATTACGAGGCAATCCTTATTTTAAAAAGGATTGAATGAGATAATGACATTCCAAAGGATCCCTGATACATGAAGGGATGCAGAAATAATTATGTTACATAAAGAGGGCACAATAGAGACAGATATTAAAAATTACCGGCCGATCTCTCTCCTTAATATGGACTATAAAATCTTTGCAAACATTCTTGCTGCGAGGTTAAAGGAGTTCTTAAGAGAATGGATAGAAGAAGAACAAACAGGCTTTCTCCCAAATAGATATATGAAGGACAATATTCGGATAGTTCTGGACTTAATAGAATACTATGAGTTAAATCATCAGAAGGCATTGGCTATCCTAGCATTAGACGCAGAAAAAGCATTTGATAATTTAAATTGGGACTTTTAAAAATTGTTGATACAAGAATTAGATATGGGCATTTGTGCAGAAGTCATTGATACTATGTATGTGTTTAACTGTTAGAGTATATATTTGTGTTTGTAACAGTAGCTAAAACTAGAGTTTTCTGGTTTGAATCCATAGTGAGCGTTGCCAAGGAGACCAGGCAGGCTAGCTCAGGAGAGTGAGAAGTGGGCAGAGTCAAGCAGGAAAAGTTATAGGCGTCTTCGGAAAAGGGCCAGAGTGTGAGAGAGTGTGGGGGCTTGAAAAGCCTGGGAGAGAGGCATGTGTGAGCAGCTGGAGGTTTTTCAGTCTAGGAGGGCTGAAGAGAGAAACCTGGCCAGTTTCTTTAGTCAAGGAAGACTAAAGGAAGCTTGTTAAGATCCCTAGTCAAGGAAGGACTAGAGATCAGAGATTTGATCAAGGAAAGATCAAATTGGAAGGCTATTCATCCTGGGCGGTTTCGTTCGTTAATTTTGTAATTCGTTAAATATTCGTTATTTTTCGCAATTACAAAACGATTACAAAACACATTTTCAAACCCGGAAGGGTTTTAAAATAACGAAACGGCATCCCCCATACTTTTAACGAGCTTCCGCCCGTTTCGTAAATGGGATGGAGGATGCTGGTGCCCTGGGAGCCAATCCGGCGCTCCCAAGCACCCAAGCAGTGCACCGTGGCTGTTTTTGATTGGCCGGCGAGCCTTTAAAAGCGGCTCCGCGCGGCCGTACAGCTCATTGCTGCAGAGGGCGAGGGAGAGAGAAGAGGTCCGGGAGGGTTTGCATTGGGTTGGCTTGCAACTGCTTGGATTGGATTCATTCCTTGCTCATTCCTTGCTTGGATTAATTCCTTGCTGCTTAGTGGTTATTATTCCTTGCTTGGATTCATTCCTTCCTTCGGTTTTTGTGAATTTGTTTGTTAATTTTCCATTTTTAAATATTTTTTAATATTTTCTAAAAATACCTGTCTTTTATTCTTAAAAAAATACAAAAAATATTCTAAAAAAGAAAAGACTCTTCTGTTGTTGTGCTCTCTCTTGCCCTGTCTCGTGGCTGTGTTTGGTCCACATCAGGGCCAGTTTTTGGTTAAGTTTCCATTTTTGAATATTTTCTAAAAATACCTTTCTTTTATTCTTAAAAAAAACAAAAAATATTCTAAAAAAGAAAAGACTCTTCTGTTGGTGTGTGCTCTCGTTTGCCCTGTCTCGTGGCTGTGTTTGGTCCACATCAGGGCCAGTTTTTGGTTAATTTTCCATTTTTGAATATTTTCTAAAAATACCTGCCTTTTATTCTTAAAAAATACAAAAAATATTCTAAAAAAGAAAAGACTCTTCTGTTGGTGTGTGCTCTCGTTTGTCCTGTCTCGCGGCTGTGTTTGGTCCACATCAGGGCCAGTTTTGGTTAATTTTCCATTTTTGAATATTTTCTAAAAATACCTGCCTTTTATTCTTAAAAAAATACAAAATATTCGCTTTAACAAATCGATTCGTTCGGTGGCTGTGTGTGCGTTTATCATTTGTGTAGTTCCAACCAGTGCGCTCCTTTTGCCAACAGAAAGTGCTATAATACAGTGCTCGCTCATTTGTGTAGTTCCAACCAGTGCGCTCCTTTTGCCAACAGAAAGTGCTATAATACAGTGCTCGCTCATTTGTGTAGTTCCAACCAGTGCGCTCCTTTTGCCAACACAAAGTGCTATAATACAGTGCTCGCTCATTTGTGTAGTTCCAACCAGTGCGCTCCTTTTGCCAACCCAAAATATTTAATAACGAAGTTATTAATAACGAAGTTTTTAATAACGAAGTTTCGGAAGTCACTTTGCGCATGCGCAAAGCGTCCGCCGTTTTAACGAATCGATTCGTTATAACCTTAACGAATCGACCCCGCACCAATAACGAAGCTTCGGAAGTGATTTTGCGCATGCGCGGGGGGTCCGCCATCTTAACGAATCAATTCGTAAATATTTACGAAATTTCGTAAATACCGAACTTTTTTAAGGGAAAATTTTGTAATTATTTTAAATATCAAAACAAAAAAACACCCCAATTACAAATCGATTTTAGAAACAAATTTTTGCGTTGTTACCCAGGCTCATAGTAGGAAATAGGGCTGGGCGGTTTCGTTTCGTTAATTTGTAATTTGTTAATAATTCGTTAATTTTTTCAATTACAAAACGATAACGAACCATTCTGGAGCAATTTTTTAAAAAACGAATTTTTAAATAGTTTTGTAAATGCTTCGTATTTCGTTATTGTATTCGTTTCGTTATTGTTTTGAGGTCGTTTCGTTATTATTTCCGCATGTCTGGGGCAAGTTTTATGGTTGTTTTTTGTTTAATTAGTGAAAAAAAATTATAATATCACACCAACAGTCAACAACAGAGGGAGAGGGAAGCTTCAGAAGTTTTTGGAGGTTTTTTAGCGTATTTCGCGGTCGCGTCCGCCATTAACGAATCGATTCGTTATTGTTTCGGAAATCGATTCGTTAATGTTTAGTAATTTTTTCACATTTACGAAATTTTGTAAATATCGAACTTTTTAAAAGGAAAATTTTGTAATTATTTTAAATAACAAAACGCAAAAACCCAAAAACGAATCGATTTTAGAAACAAATTTTTCCGTTGTTACCCAGGCCTAGTAGGAAACATTGTTCACTAAAGAGCTTCACCTCAGTAAAAGTTAGACACAAGCTGTGTCATCTGGAAGAGTGGACTGTATTACAAACCAAGTGATATTCAAAGTTCTATAAGTTATTTAACAGCCTGCAACCATACGCTTTGTACACAATAAACTTGTTATCTTTTGTTGAAGACAGTTTCATCTCAATTAATCTGCATCTGTAGAGCCAGATCTCATCGGTGGTACCTCAAATTCCTCACGTTGGTGGCAGTTAGCTTAATTTACAAATAATTGGCCTCCCCTATAATATATTCTTATACACAATTGAGGCCTGAGATTAATTCCCTCCATAATCATCCACATCTGCACAATTGGTTTGCACATCTTCTCAATTGGTGGCAGTGGTGGGAACAAAAGGTGCCTGAGGTAAAATACCTCCATTGTTAGGTCCTGCCGTTGCCAACCTCAGCAAACGCACATTCTTCTCAGCATTAAATTTAATAATGCAATAAACACGATATACAACTCACAAAAAGCCAAACTGATGATAAATGGTCAAACGACAGAAGAATTTAATATAAACAAAGGAACATGACAGGGATGTCCCCTATTCCCATTAATATTCATACTGGCATTAGAACCATTAATGAAAGATATAAGAGAAGACCAAACTATTAGAGGAGCAAAAATTGGCAAACATGAGTATAAAATACGTGCCTTTGCAGATGATGTATTAGGAATTGTAGAAGACCCATGTAATAATTTACAGAATTGAATCCAAAAGATAAATGATTTTGGGAAAGTGACAGGATTTAAGATGAACATGGTAAAAACAAGGAGGGGACTCAAGCATGGAGCAGCAGAGGGGGTCAGGAGAGGGTCTCAGCGGCGGCGGCCTCGCCTTTGCGGCTCCACTGCTCTGTGTTCCCTCCTCGCCAGGCTGGGCACCCAGCCTGGCAAGGAAGGAGCACGGAGCAGCGGAGGGGTGAGGGGGAAGTCACCGCTGCCGCTGAGGCCGTCTTTGGCAGCAGCCTCCTCCTCTCCCGCTGCCTCCTCCACCTCCTTGGGGTGACAGCACCTCGCCTTCACGTCAGGAGGAGGAAGCACCGCCTCTGACCCTGGGCAAAACAAAGTATACTGCAAATGCTTACTCTGCGTAATGGTTGGGCAGCCCCTGTTGGGGAGCGCTCCTTTAACTGAAGAGGAAATGGAGGCAAAGGGGGGTGTTCAATAAGAGTTTTGGATGAGACAGAATGTCAGATAAGGGAAAGCTGCTGTGCTGCAGAAAAATCCTGCTGACCAAAAGGTCAGCAGTTCAAGCCTAGGTCAGTGTTAGTACCCGCTGTTTGCCCCAGCTCACCTGCTCACCTAGCAGGTTGAAAGCAGAAATTTTGCTAGTTTCCAACCGACCTCACAACCACCGAGGATGCCTGCCATAGAAGCAGGAGAAACGTAAGGAGAGAATGCTTCTAGAACATGGCCATACAGCCTGAAAAACCTCAGACAACCCAGTGATTCCGGCCATGAAAGCCTTCAATAATAAAATAAAACATGTGTTTTATATACTGTTAATGAAATTATTTATATGCTGGCAATGGAGTTTCGTTCCTGGGTATTCCAGTGGCCAACGACCAAGGCCAAACAAATTTGCGTGGAATCCGTCCTTGATGTGATACCACGTCACTGGGACACCGTTGTCCTCTAGCCGTTTCTTGAACAAGAGCCCGTCATCTCGGAAAATATCATATTCACAGGTTAAAAGGAAAGTCTTGGGGAGCTGGCGGATCACGTCATCCTCTGCTAAAAGTGGGGAAAACATGGGGTTGGTTGCTTCTTTTATGCTTTCGTAAAGTTCTTGGTGAAAAGGAGGCCGCTCCATGGGCACGTAACCCCTGCCCCTAAATCTTTCTGGAATGTCATCGGGATTGACCCATTTCCTGTATTTCATCCACACATGTTCAGGTAGATGAGCATTCTTCATGACGCCCTCCACGTTGATCTCCTTCCCAGTCAGAAGCAGGGTAGCAAGCATCAAGGCATGTTTCTTGAACAGGAAAGGGACTGAATGGTTTTGCTGATAAGAAGGCAAATTTAAATCGACGGCCTGCAAACCCGGATAGATGAGGACCTGGCCTCCTAGCTTTGGGAGATCTTTCCTGCCTGCCAAATATTCAGAAACGGCTGCAGCAAATGTCCCTCCGCTGCTTTGTCCATAGAGAACAATGCGATGTGGGTCCACTCCGTATTCCTCAGCATTTTTCAAAAAGTGCATAATAGCTGTGCAGCAATCCATGACTGGGATTGGGAACGGATGTTCTGGAGCCAAACGAAACCTGAAGCAGAAATGAGAAACGGTCTGAATCCGCAATCCACATGATAACGTTCTCTGAATTTTAGGCACAGAATATCCTAAAAACTCCTGTTACAATTCAAGTCCAATGCCCTGTAGGGATGTGCACAGTGTTGTTTTTGTGTACAGTGTTCCTTCACTTATCCCTGGTGTTATGTTTATTTACAGTATTTCTATACCGCTTTTCTCACCCCGAGGGGGACTCATTAATATAGGAGTTACGAAGGTGGAGGCATAACGTTTCATTCAACACTCCTATATTAAGGGTTAGAGAGCTAGAAAAGTCTGCTGCTGAGGCTGCTATAGAAGAGGCCGGAACATCTCCAGCAAGCTCTCCTGCTCCTGGCTTTGGGGCTCCTCGTGAGGAAGACTGCAACCCCAGGCCTTTTCCAACTGGGAGTGACTTACCCACTCCAGGAGGGGCAGCTGTGGTGTTGACGGGAGCAAGAGCAGGGCCTCGCCGGATGATCTTAGATTACGAGGTGGGACGTAGGGGCAGATGCGTTTGGACAAGTAAGCTGGGCCAGAACCGTATAGAGATTTATAGGTCAATACCAGGACTTTGAATTGGGCTCGGAGATGGACCGACAGCCAGTGGAGCTGGCATAGCAGCAGGGTGGTATGCTCCCTGTATGCCGCCCCAGTTAGTAATCTGGCTGCCACCCATTGAACTAGCTGAAGTTTCCGAACCGTCTTCAAATGCAGCCCCACATAGGATTGATATTTTTTCAAAAAAATGAGTTTCTTCAGGCTAAAATCACCTGGGATCATTTTCCTTCATACATTTTCATTCACCATGAATAACAGAGTACAGTCATGATATGAATTTTTCAACCACATGATTGACATTTTGGAAAGGAACGTTCTGCATCTCCCTTAACATTTTGAAACAAGGCATCCATTTGGGATGAGAGACACCCTCTTCCTTTGTTTGTTGGCTTCTCCAATAGGAAAATAATTTATTGAGAAAGGAAATACCGAACTGGGACTGTGGCGCAGCTGGCTGCAAGTCAGTTGCATTGAGATCACTACTGACCAAGAGGTCAAGAGTTCAACACCAGCCTGGGTCGGAGTCAGCTTCTGACCATTTGTGCAGTTTGCTGTCAACCTGAAAGACAGTTGTATCTGTCAAGTAGGAAATTTAGGTACCGCTTATGCGGGGAGGCTAATTTTACTAATTTACAACATCATAAAATCTCCAGCAAGCATGCAAAAGAATGAGGAAGTACATCTGTCCAATAGAGCATGTCACAAGTGGACGGTGAAGTCACAACTCCTCTGGTGACCAGAATACCCTCATGTAGCTAGAATCTTAAATAGCCTCTGTTTGTGGAAATTTAAACAGCCTCTGTGTCTTTCCAAGTTTCTTGGAAAGGGAACAGATCGAATAGTGTGGGAGAATGTCCATTCTTATAGAGCCAGAATGAGTATGAAGTCACTTACGCAACAGTCATAACGACAGAATCGGTTTCCCGGGCAATGTAGCGGCATGGTATGTCAGTTATCCCTGAAAAACACATCATGTTTCAAAAGAGATTATTACTGATGGGTTTCATGACTATGTACATAGAAACATCCTATATACTCCACCTGAACTCTGTTTCCAGGAGAACTTACCAATATTTCCCGCAACTCCACCACCTCCTGCAATGACAACCACTCCTCTTCTCTTCCCAGAAGGAGTTGTTTTGGGCCAATACACTCTGACCGGAATGCCATCAAACACCAAGTCCTTGATCATCCGTGTTGGGCTCCACTTGGGTATAAATGTTCTGTACAACCACCCAACTAATTTGAATGGATTGTGCAAGCCAGTATTTTTAAAGAATGATTCCTGTTTACAGGAAAATATAAAGGAGAAATAAATGTCATGTGGACACAGGGCTTACGTACAGAAAGTGACAGCCTTAGGCCGAATCTAGAAGAGATCATCCCATGAACGTTTGATGGGACTGAGGCAAAGAGAAATGTAAACAATGGAAAATTACCAAGCCAGGAACAGGTTTAGACAAAAAGAGGGAGATGGAAAAATTTCTAGTCAAAGCCACAAGAGAAAGAGTTAGCTGAAAGAAGAGAAAGTTCAAAAGACCTGCAAGCCAGCAACGGGGGAAATGGTTGTGAATTGCTGTTGTCAATTGTTGATAAGGAGGCACCAGATGAGAACAATGGGAAAGAGAAGTGTGAATGAAATAGTTTGTGTCTGTCCAGGCTTCAAATCTAAGACTATAAAACCCCTGAGTTGCATCCTCAGTGTGTGGCACTTGTCGACCCAACAGAGAGATCTGATCAAATAAATCTGTCATACCAGAACTTCTCACCTCTTAGGGTCTAATTGGACATAGACCCTAGGGTTTTTGGGTTGCCTTTTTGGAAGAGGCACAGCAGTGCCTGTTGCAGTGCTTGGATGGCATCCATATGGTCCAGAAAGACCGAGACTGTGTCAGAACATTACTTCACCTTCTGTCTTGGCATGGCTACTCTCAGCTAGCCACCTGAATTCCTGGTCATTGCTGGTGCCCCATTCTAGCATCAGAAGCATCTACAACTGGGAAGAAGAGAGGGCCCACCTCCCTCCCTCTCTTCTTTGCTTCGTTGCTGCCTGTCCCAATGTCATATTGGGGCACTGTCAATGACCAGGTGTTTACATAGTGCTCTATGGACTTTTAGACACCTTTTTGAACAAGAACGAAGGCCAATTTGATCTGGATATGAAAACCTACCATGAACTGTATCTTGGAGAAGGTCCCTTTTTAGAGCAAGAACTCTGATTCCACAACAAACTGCAAATCGCAGGATCCTGATGAACCTAGACATGGTATCACGGTGCTCTCATGGTCTCAAAGAGCATACAAATATCTCTAGAAGTTTCCAACAAGCATGTTTTGACTTTGGAAAGAAAGGTTCTCTCTGAAGAGTACTTAAGGAAATATAGTCCCATTTTCAGGTACAAATGGGTCTGGAGGTTGTATGACAAGCCACCCTTATTTTAACCTTTTCTGGAGCTCATCCAAAACTGAGAACTAGAACCACATTTACAGGCTGAAAATCAGAACTGAAGATTTGAGACCATCTGTCCCCATGAGCTGAGTCAAAGCAACCCATCCCCTTCAGAAGGCCCTTGTCTTGGTGCGACACAGAGAAAGAAAGCATCTGTATGATGGTGCCACCAAAACATGTACACAAAGACACAGAGAAGTGCATTAAAATCCAGAGGACTTACCGCACGCACTCCAACTTTGGCTCCGATATACAAAATTCGTAGTGTTATGGGGTATTTGATTCCCGGGGGAATGTGCAGCCTTCTCTGATCACGATAAATGGCCCATGCAGCCCTCAAGAAGAGAGCAAGAAGGCTGGCATACAACGCGAGCATCCCCAGAGTGGCAAGAAATGCCATCCCCTTGACATACAAGGATGAAAGGATTGTCCTTTCTCTTGGATGACTTCTGAGTTTCTGCATCCCATCGGTCTCGCCATTTAATAGGGAATAAATTAATTATGAAATGCCATCTCCTGCCCAGACAGTCATTAATTCGTTAGGGAGTGGCTAATTATGTCAGATGCATGCCATCCACGCAGTTTATACCATGACACCCTTTTTCAAGGGAGACAACATTTGAATGACATTTTAGCTTAATCTAGCACAGCAGTTCTCAAACTGTGCTCCGCAGAACCCCTGGGGCTCCGTGAAGCTTATTGAGGGGTTCAGCGGTTCCCTTCCCTTCCTCCAAGCTTCCCCTCCTCTTTCCTAATCCTTTTTCAAGGGATACATCATGTGAACTGTGCTTTAGCTTAATATACGACAGTTGAATGCAAAGTAATGCCTCCACCTTCGTAACTCCTCAACAGATGGCAGTCCTGGTATGGGGCAGGTACTGGCTTGTTCAGTAGACTCTCCTCTACAGTTCCATTTTGGCAGGAAGCCTTAGCATTGAACAGTTGTGTTGTTAGTGCAAAGTGGGAAGGCAGAAAACCGAGAATAAAACACAGAAACTTGACGGACAATAAAAAAGAGGAGGCCTGGGCCTTCCAGATGTTAAATTGTATTATGATGCCTGTGAGTTTACCTGGCTTAAAAAGAGAGGAAGTGTTAGTACTGGAGGGGTTCAACCTGAGAGTCGGGTGGCATGGGTACCTCTGGTACAAGAAGACAAAAATAGAAAAAAATGCAAACATCACTTTATAAGATCAACATTAATATTTAACTGAATGTTGTCCAGTTGGCTGTACAAAATAGAATGAAAAAGGAAATACTTTTAGTAACACCTGGCAAGATGATGACTTGCAGAACATTGGTTTTGTCTGCTTGGTTGAACAAAAATACTGTGCCAAGTACAACTGAGAAATTAGATTTGGATGGATGGAAAGATGTAATGCGAACTACTGTGCAAGAAGAAAGTAGTGAAGGAACATCAGAGAGTGAGGAAGACCCCCGTGCAGCAGCTATCAAGGAACTTATTGAAATGTGGAGGCTTTCAGGTAAAGCCGTTCCAGAAAATATCAGTGAACAGGATTTAAAGATCCTAATAGAATCTCCAACTAAAACTTCCAAAAGGGAATATTTACAATTCTTGGCTAAAAAAGAAATTCTGAAGAAAGTCCAGAAAGAAAAGAAGGAGAGAAAAAGATTATTTATTTATTTATTTATTTATTTACTTTGCTTGTATACCGCAGTTTCTCAGCCCGTAGGTGACTCAACGCGGTTCACAACAAGAGCAAAAGACAATCCAACAACATACAATATTAAAACCATTAACAGCATAGTATACAAAGTAATGACACATCAATAACAACACATTAACGTCTCGTAACTAAAATCGTGATCCAATTCGTCATCCATAATTCCGTTTCCTATATTCATCGTGTTCATTGCACTATTTATCCGAACGCCTGTTCAAACAGCCAGGTTTTTAGGCAGAAAAAAGGCAGAAAGGGGAGAATTAAATCCACCAGCTCAGAAAGATAGTGATGGTGAGCTAGAAAATACATTTCTCTTGAAGTTTTGGTCCAGATCAGAAGATGCTCTCTACAACTGGAGAGCTGCACAGGCTATGATCTTTGGTCAGCCTTTGGTGTTCGACATGGATTATGAAAACTATATGTCACGTAGAGAAATGGAAAATGCAGTAAAACAGATGTTGGAATCTGAAGGCATGAATCGTAGGGCTCTGGACTAGGCTTGGGTAACCACGGAAAAATTTGGTTCTAAACTCGTTTCGTTTTTAGGGGGGCCCTTGCGTTTCGTTTTTTTTAAAGAATTCTGAAATTTTCCTTTAAAAAAGTTCGAAATATACGAAACGGTTGATCTGGAAGATATTTACTGCCCCCACGGATGAAGAGTCATTTATGGGTTTTTCTGGGTCACAGAGTGATGGGACTGGGGATGAGGCTTTTGACTGGACTAAAGTACGAGAGGTGCAAGCGGTGTATGGGGAAGCTACATCCAGTGACACATTTGTGGGTTTCTCTGGGGCTGAAGAGTGGCAATCAGGGAGTGCTACTGAAACATGAGGAGACTTAAGTCTTGACAGGAGGTGGACGGGTTGGAGACATGGTAACAGGAGTTCATGTATGGCTCGTGGGGCAGCGGCACGGGATAATGACAGGGCGTTGGCTAGTTCCTCATCAGAGGATGAAGATGTATGACATAAGCAGGGTCAAAAATGGGTATCCTTTGCAGAAAGCAAGGTGTTGTTTTGGGATCGTATGCTCTTGTCGCTGCCTTTTTCGTGTTGGGAATTTTTGGGTCCGGGATCTGCAGCTTGGTGTTTTGTTTGCTTCGTTGGGACTGACTTCTCGTGAGTGTGGAATTCTCCTATCTTGAACCTTGGACTGGTTGACGACTACTCTGCCCGCTGGACTTTGGAAACTACGCTTCTCTGGTTTGTTTCTACTTCGACTTCTGGACTACGACTGACGACGGCTTCTCTCTCCCTGCAGTTCCTGCTTCCTGTTAACTATGTTTGCGGTTTGTTTGTTTGCTGCTAAAGACTTTATTCAATCCAGTTCTTTTTGCTGGTTAATCCGGGTTATTTCTCCTTTTGCTTTATTTGCACCAAGTTTGGTCTATGTTTTGAGTTGTTGCCAGAAACACTGAGGTTAACTCTGTTGGCACACAGAACTCCCATGAATAACAGAAAATACTGGAAGGGTTTGGTGGACATTGAATCTTGAGGGACTGGCGGCTCAGGTCGCAGCTTTGCAAAGGCAGCTGCAGCAACTCCATGCGGCACAGATGTCCCCTTCACAACCAAAAGGTCATGTCATGCTCCCACAGTGTTTTGATGGCACAAGGGACCTGTTGCCTGTATTTCACTCAAGTAGACCTGTATTTTGGGCAAATTTCTGCTCAAGAGCTACCCAATGACTCAGCCAAGGTGGCATTTATGTTGAGTTTGTTGTCTGGACCTGCAGCCAAGTGGGCTGTCTCTATCGTGACTGGTAATAATCCAATTAAGGACAACTTGGTTGCTTTCAAGGAAGCTCTTACTAATGCCTTTGGTGATCCGCTGCGTGTTGAGAACACTGGATGGGCTCTGCATCGGTTGAGACAAGGAAAATTATTATTATTATTATTATTATTATTATTATTATTATTATTATTAAACTTTATTTGTACCCCGCTAGCATCTCCCAAAGGATTCGATGCGGCTTACACAGGCCGAGGCCTCAAACAACACAACATAATAAAACAATCAAGCAAATCAAACAATTAAAACAAAATAAAGCAAAGTAAACAACAGGCACAATACATTAAAACACAATAAAACTGGGCCGGGTCAAAAGGTGGGTACAAGGATTAAAAGTGCTGATTTGACAGGAGGTGTATAAAGGGTTTCTAGGGCAAGTGCGATGTGTGGTGTGCAGCAATCATTGGTTCTAGTAAAGTGCTCATGGGACTCGGTGGTGGAGATTTCCTAATCTGGGAAGGCGCATCGGAAAAGCCAGGTTTTCAAGTTCTTTCTGAAGACAGCCAATGAAGGGGCCTGTCTAAGGTCTTTGGGGAGGGTGTTCCAGAGTTGGGGGGCCACTACGGAAAAGGCCCTGTCCCGCGTCCCCACCAAGCGCGCTTGCGACGCCGGTGGGATCACGAGCAGGGCCTCTCCAGATGACCGAAGAGAACGCGTGGGTTCGTAGATGGAAATGCGGTCACGCAGGTAGGCTGGTCCCAAACCGTTCAGGGCTTTGTAGGTAAGCACCTGCACCTTAAATTGGGCTCGGAATATAAACGGCAGCCAGTGGAGTTCCTTAAACAGGAGGGTTGACCTCTCTCTGTAAGGGGCCCCAGTTAGCATCCTGGCTGCTGATCGTTGGACCAGTTGGAGCTTCCGAGCCGTCTTCAAGGGCAGCCCCATGTAGAGCACATTGTAGTAATCCAATCTGGAGGTGACCAAGGCATGGACCACTCCGGCCAGATCCGCCTTCGCGAGGTACGGTCGCAGTTGGTGCACAAGTCTCAGTTGTGCGAAAGCCCTCCCAGACACCGCCGACGCCTGAGCCTCAAGCGAGGCACTGTGTTAGAATATTTGAATAAGTTTAACCTTTAAAGCATCAGCTGGACTGGGGAGAGAAGCCCTTTATGCTCCTGTTTACTGCAGGGTTATCTGAACAACTGCAGGACGAATTAGCTCGTTTGGAGCCAGCTACCACGTGGGATGATCTTGTTAAGAAAGTACTAAGGATCGAGGCACGCTTGGAGTTTAGAAGGAAGGGTCAACTGAGTCGGGGAATTATTATTGCTTCTAGTCCTAGTATCACCAGCCATAAAGATGATGAAGAACCCTTGCAGCTGGGAATATTTAGAAGATTAACCAACGCTGAGAAAGAGCGAAGGAAACAATTACATTTATGTTTGTACTGTGGTGGTGGAGGACATTTTGCAAAAAACTGTTCTGTTAAACCTTCTAAGTTTCAGGGGAAAGGTCAGCCCTAGTGCATCAGGAGTCCAATGCACTAGGGCCAATAGTTCAGTTGCCCAGAAGTAACAAGCATGTGTTGGTTCAAATTACACTCTTAGTTGAGAATGGGGAGAGTGTAGATACTAGGCCTGGGTAACAACGGAAAAATTTGTTTCTAAAATCGATTCGTTTTTAGGGTGCCTCAGCGTTTTGTATTTAAAAATATATCCGAAATTTTCCCTAAAAAAAGTTTGGTATTTACGAAATTTCGTTAATATTTACAAAACGTTTTGTAAAGATGGCGCCCTTTTTTTTCAATATTTTTTCAATATTTTTTTAATTTAATTATTAATTTTTAATCTGGGATAAACTGAACACCTGGGATCAGATCCTGGGATATAAGTTCTGCCTGGAAGAGCCCTGTGTCAGTCAGTGATTTATTACGGTCTTTGACCAGCACAGTACAGAATGGGGCATCGGTGCCCAAGGAAGGGAATCG